GTCCTCGCTTGGCACGGCCCGGGTCGGATTTATCCCTCTGCGGGGTGTTTTTAGGGAAGGAGAGGAGTGCAGGGGGCTCCCGGGCTCTGCCGGGGGGTGACCCTCCCCGTGTTGCCCGGCAGTGCCGACGCCGCCCTGGAGGAGGCCGTGGTGGAGGTGCTGGACCACCGGCCGCTGGAGCGGGAGCGCGGCCCGCCGTGCCGGGTGACGGTGGAGCCGGTGGGCTCCTGTGCCACGCTGGTGACCGAGCGCATCGCCCAGGGCCCCCCGGGGCTGCTGGACACAACCACGGCCGCGCTGCTGCACGGTGAGGACGGGGGGGGGGACCCGGCCTGGCCCAACCCCAGCCAAAGGGACGGTGCCAACGCGTCCCCCCCCGCAGGCACCATCCTCCTGGACTGCATCAACCTGAGCCCGGCCGCCGGCAAGGTGACGCCGCGGGACGTGGCGTGCGTGGCCCTGCTCGAGGAGAGGTTCCCCGAGCTGCCGCCCCGCGACAGCGTCTTCGGAGCCCTGCAGGCGGCCAAGTTTGACGTCTCAGGTGCGGTGACGCCCCGGGGGTGACCCCCCACCATCTCCCCGGGGACGGGGGCTCACGCCCGCCCCGTCCCCTCGCAGGGCTGACGACGGAGCAGATGCTGCGCAAGGACCTCAAGGTGATCTCCGGCGACGAGCTGGCCCTCGCCATCAGCGGCGTCTACGTGGACCTGGAGGTGAGGCTCGGCGGCTCGCGGCGCGCCGGGGACACGGCGGTGACACCCAAGAGCCTCTTCCCTTGCCTCCAGACCTTCCTGCTCCGGCCCGGCTTGCTGCAGGACCTGGACGCCTTCTGCCAGGCCCGTGGCTACGCGGGGCTGGTGGCCATGACCGTCTCCTTCAACGAGCGCCACGAGCCCACCCGCAAGCTGGCCGTGTACAGCCGGTGCGAGACCCTCCGCGGCACGGTGAGCTGGGGGGGGCCCGGGCGCCCTCGGCCCTGGTTTGCCCCAAACCCCTCCTGATTTTGGTGCTCCCCCCGCAGCTGTGCCGGGCGCTGGAGGAGGCGACGACGCCGTCCCTGCACTTGCAGCCCCTGCCCAGCCCCTGGCCCTGCGTGGGCGCCTTCGCCCAGGGCAACGC